AAAAACTTCCCCCGAAGGCGGCAGTGTTGTCTTTGGACCTTGCAGGACCGATGTTGGTGGCTGACGATGTGAGCAGAAAGAAAGCCAAGTATGTCCTGGTGGGCACGTTTACCTGGCCTACGGGAGGAATTGGAGAAGAGGTTGAGGACGAAATTGAGGAAGAAGATCCAGAAGATCAAGCAGAGCTGAGATTTGAAGAGTTGGAAGACGAAGAAGGCAAGAAGAATGAAGAAGGAAAGCTACAAGCGATGCAGCAGGTGGAAGAAGAAGAGGACATTGAAAGAGAGGAGAGGAGGCAGACCCCTCCCGAACTAGATGTCCCATACTCACCATCTGTTGCTTCGAAGCTGGAAGAACAAGATGAAGAGCCTGAGAGACAGGACGCCCAGGTGAAGGTCCATCGAATGGCCATCCCATTGCCTTCGAAAAGTGGGGATGATCTCTTGAGAGGAGTATCGGACCTCTACTTGATGCTGAGAAGCGAAGGCATGTATGTGAGACAAATACACAGTGATCTTGGTGGTGAATTCAATGGGCAGCGACTTGCAAAATGGTGTGTAGAGAGAGGAGTACTCCAGACATTTACATCTGGAGCAGATCCACAAGGAAACGGCCGTGCTGAACGAGCAGTGCAAGCTATGAAGATGGAAGTTCGAAAGATGTTGAGAGGAGCGGAAGTTGGAGCCGAGTTTTGGCCTCTTGCAGTTCGACATCTCAACGAGGTATGGAGGAGGGATAGAATGGGAATCAAAGATGTGGTACCACCATTTATGGCCAAGGTCATCATCAAGAAGAGATACTGGAAGGCGAAGGACTTCGATCCCAAAAATGAAGTCGTTCGATACATAGCACCATCATGGATCTTTCACGGACACTGGATCATGAAGGAAGACGGAGCGAAAGCATTGACAAGAGCCGTCATCACTAACACCAAGGAACCCATCACCGACGAGATCTGGGTGGCGTTAGAGGATGCGCTCACTCCGTTGGATGCGAGACAAAGAATAAGAGGGAAGTCGCTGGTTCAAAGACTGAAGGTGGAAGAAGAAGATGATCAGCACGAGGAGAAACAGAGAAAAGAAAGAGTGCTGCAGGAGGAGGCCGCCAGGTTAGTTTTTGATGATCTGGAAGTGGCCCCAATCGTAGCAGAAGGCATACAGATGATGCAAGTACAATTGGAGGAGCCGGTGGAGGAAATCCTGCAAACAAAGATTGTCAGCCCTGCAGAGGTGAAACAAAAGATAGACAAGTGGAGGAAGGCGATCGAGGCTGAGATAGAGTCGCTGTTCCACACCAAAGGAGCACTGAGGCTGGTTGAGAAGGATGAGATGAGAAGTCTTCTCAAAGATCATGGAGTAGCTCCGCTACCATCTAAGGCCATCTTCACCTTGAAGCCTGATGGGAATAACCCTCAAGGGAAACGAAAATGCAGAATAGTGGCATGTGGCAACTACGCTGCTCCAGAGGAAGATGCCAACTACTTTGCAGCGGGAGCAGACGCTGCATCACTTCGCCTTGCTCTCTCCCTGGCATCACGACGAGGCTGGGGAGGCTACAACATGGATGTGCGTACAGCCTTTTTGAACGCACCTTGGAAAGGAGAAAAGAAATTTGAGGATTCAGAGGATGAAGCCAACTAGAAGCCAGTGATTTTACGACCCCCAGGAATTCTCATTGCCTTGGGGTACTTCACTGCAGATCAGGGCTGGGAAGTTCATCGAGCACTTTATGGGTTTCGTCAATCGCCAAAGCTGTGGTCTGACTATCGAGATCAAGAACTGGAAGAGATGAGGGTGGAGGACTTCTTCTTGAAGCAGCTAGAAAGTGAGTCTTGTCTCTGGGTGATCAAGAAGCCAGGTGATACAGAGGTTCATGGGGCTTTGGTCACCTACGTTGACGACCTGCTGCTTTTAGGAGAAGAAAGGTTGGCGGCTCGATGGGTAGAAGAGATCAAGCGAAAGTGGGAGGTGTCAGAACCAGAGAAAGTAGAAGCTGGTAAGCCCACGAGGTTTTTGGGCATGGAACTGAGCCGAAGTCACACAGGCCAATGGTATGCCAAGCAGGAGGCATACACCAAGGATCTACTGCTTCGAAACTTGGGCCCCGATCAAGAGAAATGGCCCAGAAGAAGGATCCCAGTGGCAAGAGAAGAAGAAGAGGATCCGACAACCAAAGAGGAGCCAAACAGAACACCAATGGAGGTAAGAGAGGCACAAAGAGTGGTAGGAGAACTCATTTGGCTGGTCACGAGGTGTCGACCAGACATCATGTATGCTACGTCTTTGATGTCCACACTTACCACACGAAAACCACTGAAGGTGATGCGAATGGCATATCAGGTGTGGTGCTACTTGGCTGGAACTTTGGAAGAAGGATTGGTCTTTAGAGGAACAACAGAAGACCTGATGGTCTACACTGACGCGTCGTTTGGAGAAGAGGATGCGCATGGCTGTGTGGTAGTGCAATGGGGGGAGGATCCACTGGTCTGGAGGAGCTCTAGACAGGGCATGCTGACCACCTCCACCGCAGAGGCGGAGCTTGTGGAAGTAATGGAGGGTGCGGTGACCACGGAGGCACTTCGAGTGATGGTGGAAGAACTGGTTGACGGTCCGGTGAGATGCTGGCAGTTTACGGACTCGTCGGCGGCTCTCACCATCATTGTGGGTGACACTGCATCTTGGCGGACTCGTCATCTGCGAAAACGAGCTCGATTTCTGAGGTGGAAAGCACTTAGAGGAGATGTTCTGATGCGACATCAACCGGGTTCAGAAATGGTAGCCGACGTGGGAACCAAACCACTGTCAGCAGTCAAGTTGAAGGAGCACAAACAACGGTTGGGAATGGACATCAAGGAAAATGAGGTCAAGTTGAAGCACAATCACAAAGAGAAGAACGAGGTTAAGAAGACACAGCATGAGGGACGACTGAGGTTGGCGCTCATGATGGCGCTGATTGCTCGAGGAAAAGCTCAATTTGATGAAGAGGACGAAGACGAGGGACAGAACGCCTTCGAATGGATGATGATCATCTATACGGTGTTGAACGGTGGTCACCATCACCATCATCGTCCAAGCAGTATGGGAATGGATCCATAAGGAGGAACATTGGGGGCTTGAGGTGCGTCCCAGGAAAGGCCTGGGGTGCGGACTCGCCCCACCACCGGATGAAATCCCCGGTGATGCCCAGCCAGTTGCTGGAAGGAGGGTTGAGGTGCGTCCCAGGAAAGACCTGGGGTGCGGACTCCCCTCGAGGCTTGAGGTGCGTCCCGTGGAGGAGACGGGGTGCGGACTCGCCTCACCACTTGGAGAGAATCAGGAAGGTCTCCCAAGTGATGCCCAGCTATCAGCTGGAAGGAGGCTTGAGGTGCGTCCCGTGGAGGAGACGGGGTGCGGACTCGCCTCACCACTTGGAGAGAATCAGGAAGGTCTCCCAAGTGATGCAAGGGCTTGAGGTGCGTCCCGTGGAGGAGACGGGGTGCGGACTCGCCTCACCACTTGGAGAGAATCAGGAAGGTCTCCCAAGTGATGCGGGGAAGGCTTGAGGTGCGTCCCGTGGAGGAGACGGGGTGCGGACTCGCCTCACCACTTGGAGAGAATCAGGAAAGTCTCCCAAGTGATGCCCGGTCTGATACCGGAAGGAGGGTAGAGGTACGTCCCAGGCAAGACCTGGGGTGTGGACTCCCCTCGAGGCTTGAGGTGCGTCCCGTGGAGGAGACGGGGTGCGGACTCGCCTCGCCGCTCGAGGGAGGAAAAAACACATCCCCGAGCGATGCCCGGTCTAATACCGGAAGGAGGGTAGAGGTACGTCCCAGGCGAGACCTGGGGTGTGGACTCCCCTCGAGGCTTGAGGTGCGTCCCGTAGAGGAGACGGGGTGCGGACTCGCCTCTCCACCCGCGGAGGAAATGACATCAAGATCCTCGGGTGATGCCCAGCCAGGTGCTGGAAGGGAGCTTGAGGTGCTTCCCGAAGAGAATCCGGGGGGTGGACTCGCTCCGGGGTCGTCAATTGGCCCAAGATTAAGACCAGAGACATCCGGCGAAAGAAGCTCCGCAACCAGGGAGAACATTGATGACACATCGCGGTTGCCACCGGGCGTGACGTTGACTGGAGACCAAATCTGTCAAGTGGATGGATCGATCATTCCCAGAATAACCCAGCTGATGGTAGCTGGAAATGGAAAAAGGTACCACAACTATCGCAACTGCACTGGGGTCAAAATGTCTCCCAATGTGAGAGATGTTCATGTGTGCCAGATTTGTTTGGAAAAATACAATTGCTGGACATCTGGAAGCACAATATTGTATGCACGGAGCATCAACCACGTGATGCACACCAGTCGCAGACACTATGATCAGGTGCATCCAGGTCATGAACCTCGAATCTTTGAACCATGCCAAGTCTGCCAGCCTTTCGAGATGTAAGTGCAGATGACTTAATTTTGATTGCGAGAGGGCTTGAGCTTTTGACGCATACTCGTGCGGGAATCAAGTACCCGAGTGTGATTAGCTTTTCTCTGCTGAAAGCGGAGGTATCAAAAAAGAAAAAAGTGGTGTGAAATCTTGCGAAATACACACCAGGGGGAGTGCGTGAAATGCATTTCTCCACATGTTTCATCAAAGGACATTCAATGGATTAACATCTGATAGCCCTTTTTTGAGATCAAGATTCTTGGCCGGACTTGGCCTTGTAGCGGTGAAAAGACTGAGGAGCGTTGCCAACTGACTGCATTTGGAAAGGCATTCATCCCATTGTGTGATCCACTAACCTGTACCTGTCTCAAGACAAATACAATATATTATATGATGGAATTCAATATAGTATAATATAACATAATACGATATAATATGATATAATATGATATAATATGATATAATATGATATAATATGATATAATATAATATAATATAACATAATTCAGAGATAGGTAGATATCCTTTTATTGTCTGAAAATAATAGCAAGCTTGCTTGCGCGAATTGCTCGAACGCAGCCTGGGATTCAGGACAGCGCCGCTGGCTTTTGCGTGAAGGATATCAGACTCACGCGCGAGATGTTAGCAAAGCAGTTCATCATTATTGGAGGTGTGATATCTGGCTTGTTTGCAGCTCTATCGCGGGCCATTTAGGAATTCTTGATTCTTGCGGCAAGAGCCGTTTTTCTCTCCAAAGATGTGATTGAGCATTTTTAGAGCTCTCGCTGTGAAGCGCTGGCAGTCACATTTCTACAAGTTTTAATTTTGGAGGGCCAGCGGTCGTGGTAGTTCCAAGACCATGTAACATTTCAGTTTATGCCACAGTCTCTTCCTAATTTGGACTGGAGACTTTACTTTTCCACTCTGCGCTCAAGTCTCAAGCACATCATGAAGACTAATGAAGTGTTTTTCGCATTTGACGTGCATGCCTTGGTTGTAATTTGTCGCAGGAGGCTTGACGTAGAAACTAAATGATGCGATTTATTGCGTGTCAAACCCAATTGCATGTTTTAAGACTACAGACCAACTCGAATCTTTGAAAGATCCTTAAGTTTGATTCATTTATTTCCATTAGTTTGTCCTGCAATCTCCTGAAAACGATGCAAAACTCTTTCATTAAGTATCCCACAATTTCTGGAAAGTCTGACAGAGGGCGGGAGATTGCGTGGATGAGCCCTTGGAACATGGGATGCGCTGGGTGGGAAATTGGGAGCGAGTGGTCGTCAGAACCTTGCTTTTGAGCCTCAAAAAGGACACCCATGCAGTCCATAGTTTTCTTTTTTCTTTCGAAACGCAGCGTAACTGCATGAAGTGTACAGCTTCGAAAGGTAGACAACGCCACGGGCAAAAAGTCCAAAACCCCGGCTCTCCGCCACAGCTCTGCTGCTTTGCGTTTGTTTAAAGTTTGTTTAGTTTATTCCATTTTTCAGATGTCAGTGGACCAATTGGATGCACGCCGCAAGCCTTTGTTCAAAGATGTGCGCTACGAAGCGAAGGTGAAAGAGCTGGAACCCTGCAAGCGGCTGATTGAGAAAGCCAATGCAATTCTGGGGTGCGGCTTCCCAGCATCTGGCAGTTTGTCACCCAGCCGAGATCAGCTGAGATCAGTTTACAGGCATAGTATGGCATAGTAACATCATTGACATAATCATGTATTATGTATGAAGAGCCTTGAAGAGCTTGTGAATTGCTGATGTAGTGTGCAGGAGACCCCAAGAAGCACAGTATTCAGCTTCTTTTTTCAGGCTGAGGCTTTGCATGTCTCTGTGAGATTCCCTCTTTAGGTACGATCTTCTGGATCTTTGCTTGAACGGTCCAGAGGACAAATTGGAGGACTTGGCGGGTTTGCACAGCTGCTGAGCGTAAAAAAATGCAGCAGTTGGGTAGCAAGTGAAGTCTCCCCCAGTGTTGGTGATGTTTCTTGGCAGGCATTGGTTGAGCGGACCAATACTGTTGTAGCTTTGTCGTTGTGTTTTGATCACAGGAATTCGGGAGCAAAATGAGACACCCCCGTCAAAGTTCCCTTATGTCTCAATGGAGGCAATGTATAGGATGAATCTGAGAGAACATTTCGAAACAAGGTGGTACTCAAACCACAACTAGCAATATCGGACAGCAACTAACAGCAACTCGTAAAGAAAAATATCGAAACATCCCAGCGAGAGGAGACAAAATTCTGTCAGCCCGCCATGTTCCTGGCGAATTGTTGCGCAGTAGGCAGCTCAGGTGACAGAGAACTCACAGTCTGCCAGAGTCTCCATGCTCCTGTTTGCATGTATGTAGATCTAAGCGGCTTTTGGCGACAAGCAATGGGTCAATCATGCCCCAGAACTTTGATGCAACGATGCATAGATTTTTCTGGACAATCCTGGAGAATTTCAGAAAGAATCGAAAGTCGTAAAGTCAGTTCCTGTCAGTTCCTGTCAGTTCCTGTCAGCTCCATTCGCTGTACTCAGTTGGAGAAGCTGCGCTTGGAGAAACCGGAGGTCGTAGAACGCTGCTCTGCAACTGCAGGTCTCTCATTGGGTGAGTGCCCTTTGCCCTTCCAAAAGCTTGCATGTCAGAACGACGTTCAATTGACTGTTGAATAGATATGACAGAATTCAGCAGAGACAGATCCCACGAGAAGAGGTGAATTAGTCTTTTTCGAAGGTTTCATGGGGCTTGAACGAGGCATTTCTTTGAGGCTGTCCTTCTTTAGTGCTATACCATTGCGACAAAATTGATGCAACGTGAGCCAACCTTGGGCCGCACGCGTGGCCTGCACCAGGTACAACGCTATTTGCTTCTCCGGCATGTTGAGCTTCGAAGAGTGCTTGAAGGTGGTGCGTGTCAGGGCTGATGCCATGCAAGAGGACAGCAGGGAATGGCATTGAGCAAGGAGAAGTGCAAGTCTTGGGCGGAATCATTTGAGCGCATGTTTTCTTTACGATATCCAATCCAAAGTTATCTTAACAAAACACCGACATTTTTCGCATCATCTTTCGCAGATAGTTGCAAGCTACTTGCGTTGTGGGCAGGGCGCTGTCCAGCTTGTCTTCTGCTTTGTCATTGTTGATCTTGCAGAATGGTGGCCGCGGGTGTGAATTTATTCCTTACACGGTGGCCCCACCTTCGGTCTTGCCGTGTCTTGCTTATCATCTTGTCTCCAATTTGTCTGCGTTGTTCACCAGCTTGTTTCCCAGTGTGGTTCCCCAAGTTCGGCATAGGTGCTCTCAGCATGGTGGCGGGAAGTCTATGCGAAACGTACTCAACAATCTTGCAAAAAGCGATGAATAAGAACCTTTCAACATTCTGTTGGTATCTCAGTATAATTTCAACACAAAGATACACACAGTTTTTCTTTCTCACCTGCACGGACACAGTGTTTTATGACCCCTTTGGCATCGTGTGCAGCGCGCTACAAAAATTCCTGACAGGAGTCCCTTCGATCGCAGCAGGCATCTTCGCCGCATGTTCTTGTTCTAAGTAGGACCAAGTAGGAGATCATACCAACGTTGCTTCGATGCGAGAATAGAAGGATCTCCAAGTTGGCAAGTTGGGATGTTTATGGATGCTCCATGGTGCTCCTTGTGAGATGGTGTCAAGCGCCAACACGAGGCGATGATCTCAGTGGCTGGCCTTGATCTCGCAGCCGCTTGATGCAAGAGGTTTGATGGTTCCAGTGCAAGAGGGACGGAGTACAAACATGTACATTTATGAAGATGATTGAAGATGATTGAAGATGCATGAAAAACTAAACAAATATTGTTCAAATATGATGAAATACTGGTCCCAGAAGAAAATATTGGCAGCAATACCTGGAACACTTTGCATTGCAGTCTAGGGCACCCAGTACCATGTACTCAGCTTACGAGTGGCGTTGCAAGAAACTTGCTGTCGAGGATGACAAGTGATGACAAGGTGACATTGTCCACTTTCATCTTTTTGATGATGTTGGGGTCGTGGTCTTTGGATCGGGATAAGACATGCAGGTAAACGATAGCAACGTGTTTATATTGAAAATATTTGTAAATATTATGATATATATATATATTATATAGACTGCATATATTGTTGCACATGCCATGCTCTGAGGTGCTTGAGAGCCTTTGTGAGAAGGCAGCCAGGCCATTGTGGATGAGATCATCGCAGAGATCCCATGTGGAGATTCAGTTGATAGAGACATAATATAGAAACATATAGAACTTATAGAACTAATATAGAACTAATATAGACATAAAGAAACATTCTCAGGCTGAGGTCCGGAATCAGTCAGATTTATGCTGAATTTTGCGGAGAAATTTGTGCCGTCCAACTGTCCAATTCCTGTTCGGAAGCAATGGAGGCAAGCCGGCAACCTGGGAGAACGCGAGGCTGTATGCAAGGCAGGGTCAGATCTTCCATGGATTCATTAACTTTGCTGGGCTTTCACGACCTCTTTAGGTTTTGTATTCTAAGAGAAATGGGCATCGGGCGCTGAGGTTGCCAATCACTTGTTCCCGAAGGGCTACACCTGCTCTGGGGACAAATCAGCAGTGGAGTTGTTGAAAGGCCAGATTCCATGCTCCAAATTTACCAAACGCAGTCAGGTGTTGTGTGCGGTTTGAGATTGCTGGAAATGGGATAGAGATCTTTCGAGAACGCGATTGCATGATGTTTGAAGCTTCTTTCACAGGCTTCTGTGAGAAAGAAGGGGCGCTACAAGCTCGCTACCTGAAGACATCTGGAGCTGCTCAGCAAAAACTGGTGCTGTTCGGTGCTGCTCCGTGCTGCTCGGTGCTCGTTTGGCTTGAATCGCTGCGTTTCACTGAGGCCTTCCACACGTCCTTGATGGAACCAGCAGGCTCAAGCGACGTGCCGTGCAGATTCATGCGAGTCTGCGAGTCTGCGAGTGGTGCACCATTGTACATGCTTTGTGATCATCACTTGTGATCGCATTTACGCAGTTTCTACATGTTGCATGTTTCTATATGGTTGTACAGTTCATAAACATTCGAAAACGGCTTAGCTTGAGTGCTCCCTAAATTTGAAGCTGTTGCAGGTGTCAAACTACTCAAGGCTCTTCGAGTGCGAGTCACGGAGATGAACTTTCCGCGAGTGGATGCCACGAGCTCAGTGGATTTGCCTGGTTTCTGAACTGAAAAAAGAGGCGCCAAGGCTAAGCAGCCAAGCGAAATCTATCGAAATCTAAGCTGCTAAGTCATGGGGGCTTGAATTCATGTCACCAATGTCAATCCGTGTACCAACGGATTGCCGTTCTCACCTGCATGAAGGGAATTTCCATTCTGTGAGACACTTGTGCTGAGCATGATTCCTTCCAGATCCTGCCAGATCCTTCCAGTATGTTCTGTTGTAGGTGTACATGAACGTACGAGGAGCACCGCAAAAAGCTGGCACCGACCCACGGGAGATCAACTATGACTTGGCCGAGCAGGCAGCGCGCTGAGACGCATCGAATTCCATGATACATGGCGCAAGAGACACTGCTTCTGAGACTTCACTGGATACAGTATGTGTTGAGCGACTACTAAGAAAGCTTGTCCTGATCTGCTGTTGCGCCAAGGGTTCTAGGTCAGACATCTTCATTCCTTCAAACTGTGGATGAACACATGACATTAGATGACATGACATGACATGAAGCCAAACGGACGTTGAGAATGACTTGACTGCATATGAATGAAGAACAATCTCGTTCAACTTGGGGATAAATTGCACGATGTTGACATATGGTGACTGAAACCTCACCGAGGTGGCATCTCCTGTCCTTTGGCAAGCGAGTATTCAGGCACGTGCTTCTCAGATCCTGTCAAACTCATAGGAGTCTGTTAGCTGAGGGGGCAACAGTGAGAACCTCAAACACTGACATTAATGATTGATGAATGACTCTTAATTCTTGCCACTTGGTTCCACTTGGATGGTTCCAGGTCCAACAATCTGCCAAAGACCAAATTCCAGCTTTGATCAGGAAATGATGAAGAATGGTATCACGGAGTTCTACGAATGTGGTCCCATGAAACAGCTCAAGGTGCTCGTGCTGTGATACAAACCGAAACACACATGCAGAAGAGTTTTGCATGTCAAGTATGCAACAATATGCTTTGACAACTTGACACAACTTAACCATATTGCCACTTGGGCATTGATACAAATACAATATATAGACGTCCCATATATGAGTGGGAAGACTGTTCCCTGGTTGATTGGTGGTTTGATGACGTGGTGAATTGATTAGATAGTCGATAGACTCCGATAGACCCAATAGTCAGTGCGTTGGCTAGATGGCATACTTCACAAATTTGTGGGTTACTTGAGTCCTCCGCCAAACTTCCTCAGAAGAACTGATCTGGTGCTGCAAAAAGTCCGTTGTAAGGCCATGATGAAGCGCATCAGCCAGGACAGCTTCAGCATTTGATGTGCTGCTGACTTCTAGATGCGAATGGCTCAACATACAGGCAGTGCGATGCAGTGCGTGATTGCCCTGTTGCCCTGTTGCCCTCCGTGCGGTTCTGTGACAGGAGGCATGGGAGCGAACCACAAATGTGTCAGTCTGAGGGCAAAGACCCATTTGGATGTACATACGGCTACAGCTGTCATGGTTTCAGAACCATTCAGGACAGATTTACCATGGCTTCGTGCTTCCGTTCAGCTTTTCCAGAATGGATGTTGAGCTAACCAGCATGACAGCTGCCATCGGTGATTCTGGTTTCGCAAGCAAGTAGTGCTGTGGCAAAGTTCTTTTGGATGGAAAACAACCCACTTTGTGAGAGAGAGAGAGAGAGAGAGGGGGAGAGACAGAGACCTATTCGCATTCCTGCATTTGTAAGGGTCATTCTCCTCCGTCCACCTCCTTCTACCGACTGGAGGAGTACATGAAACATGACAGGTGAGGTTGTGTCACGAAACTCAGGCAGTAAAGAATGTGCCCAACACGAATGTGGTTTAGTCTTTGGGCTATCAGTGATCTCACTGACATTTTCTGCCTAGAGGCTCACTAGCGAACCCGAAAACGATTTTGAGCAAGTCATTCCTCTGCCTGGTACCCTAAGCCGCCAAGGGGTACAAAGGATCCAATTTGAGCGTGAGCTCAGTCCAAGGTCTTAAAGATAGTAAAGGCGAAACCTGGCGAGACATAGCAAAACAACAAAGGTATGGACAACGCGAGACAGTGCTGCCAAGAGGCAGTCGATCTTCTTGAAAAAACATGTTTTCGGCCCGAAACGGCACCGATCCGAAACGGCATCAAAGAGTGCCAAAACAGACAAGCAAACCGCAGCAACCCCCCCATCAGAGAGAGGTTCCATACAAATTAGCGAGTTTAGCCACTTCAACCATCACACACCGGATATTTTGGGGTCTAGTGCGTCCCAACCCGCTCTGAACTTCATGTGGAAAACGGAGCAATTCAGCAGCAACTTTCGCAGAAACTCATTTATATAACGTACGTTGAAAACTATTTCCTGTTCATTATTGTCAAGGACCTGGTTTCAGCCTGCAAAACCTTCCAGTGCAAACAAGTTCCGTGCGACGTAGCTTCAATGCACTTTAACCAAGACGGCACCAACACAAGACAGAAGCGAAAACACCGCCCTAGGGCCCTAGGGCAAAGCTCCTGCTCTAGCTGAAGCTAGACACAAAGCTATTGTCCTTACGTCTCATCACAGGTTCACTGACAAGAAGTGACACGAAACGACACGACAAGACATAACAAGAAGTGCGAGTGAGTTTCAGTGATGCCACAAGAATTTGCAATATGTGGTTCTTGCCATTTCGAGTCAGACAAGAAGCTGCGCAACACCACAGCTTACATGAGTTGCAAAAAGACATTAAAGTAGCATGTTGACATTAGCTCTCAACTTGCGAGGCAATACAGTGCCCCAAGTCGCTGTGAAAAAATATATCAATGCATCATATTGCAGGATTTCACACGTGATTTACACAAAGGCACTAAGGCATATCGGGCGGCGCTGAAACCCTGGGACCACTGGAACCACTGGGACCACTGGGACTGGGAGCATGAGCGCTGCTCTGAAAGATGAAGGCAATGCCTGCTTTAAGAAAGGTGACTATGAAGCCGCAGTGAAAGCATACACCGAGTCACTTGAACTTGATCCAGCACAGCACCTTTGTTACAGCAATCGAAGTGCCGCCTATTTGAAGCTCCATCACTCAGCGGAGGCCTTGGTTGATGCACAGAAATGTCTGGAGTTAGCACCAGACTTTGCCAAAGGTTACTCGAGACAAGCAGCTGCACTTCAGGAGCTCGAGCGCTGGGAGGAAGCCATTGACATCTGCGAAAAAGGCATGGCGAAGTGCTCCAAGGCGGATGCCGACACTTTGGGGAAGACCCTGGTGGAGGTGAAGAATCGACAATTCACGGCTCAGTTGCAGGGCAGTTGGCATGGTAAAGTGACAGAACAATTGGGAGGATATGATCAGGAAATGCAGTTCTTAGATCACTGCCAAGTCCGAGTGCAGGTGCTGGGCAGATCCATCATGGGTCAGTTCCGTGTTGATGCCACCAAAGATCCAAAGCATCTTGACATCCAAGTGACCAGTGAGGAAATCCCACCAGGATATCCACCTCCTCCACCTGTGCCGTACATCGCCAAAGTGGACCAGCAGGGATTGCACCTGTGCTGCCCCTACATGAAAATGGAGAGACCGGATCATTTCGGAGGAGAAGGATACTGCCTCATGACCAAGGGAGTCATGGAAAATGCAAGCGATGAGGCTATCAAAAGGCTTAGCAAAGAGGAGCAGGTCTTCATGTGTGCCAAGGAGGTGATAGCAGCTTTTCTAGACAGAAAGTTTGAAGAAATGAGTCAGCAAGACACCGAGGAGGCAACTCGAGAAAAGGTCATGGCGCAGGTGAAGTTCGAGACTTCCATCTACAAAGTTCAGCAGAAGTTTGGTGAGGAGCTGATGAAAGAAGTCCTTGATTCTGCCAAGCCTGGTGCTGTTGGTGTCAAGGGGTTAGCTGGCACCCCAGAGTTGGAAGAGCTCAAGGCGAAGATTCAGATGATGGACGGTGGGGACCACACCGAGCCACCCGCCGCCCAGGCTGCCCAGGCTGCCCAGGCTGCCCAGGCTGCCCCAACCCCTGAAATTCGTTCCACAGCAGCTGCCCGACCGCCAGAGCCCAAAGACCCTGCACCATCAGGTGATTCCGGCGATTCCTTTCCCACTGCTCTGGTGGTCAGCATAGCTGTTGCAGCAATGGCGGTCCTCGGAGGATTTTGGATTTTGAAACGACGGCGTGAGTGATGCTAGAACCGTGCCAGTGACCTTAGGTAGAGTCTATTCTGACCCGTGTCGTAGATTTTGTTTCATGTCGATGCTGCAAGCAAACCTGTCAAGAGTGCCAAAGGGGAAAACAAGCCGTGCCTTTCGCTTCCCTATGCAACACTGTTTCAAGCATATCGTGAGGTGGCTTATTCTAGCACAGTGTCTTTTGCTTTGGAAAAGAGACAAAGGCGAAATTCCAGCTTGCAGAAAGTGTACAAATTTTGGCTCATAGGCAAGCAAGTAGTCGTGAACGGCCCGGATTGTGGTAAGAATGGAAGCAGCCTTGAAATCGGTTTTAACCGTTTCGCGCCAATCAAGAGACTCAGTTCCTACGACATGGTTCCAGTAGATCAAGCATTTCTGATCCTGTAAGATCTGTGACAGAAAGCCCAACATCGCATCGGGATCTCCTCGCAAATGAAGCTAAGGAACCGAACGCAGCCGAACACATTTTCCTTTTCAGCTTTTGTTCACAGGACTGTCCAAGTTGTGTGGAGTGCACTCCATGAATGCTGTTGGAGGTCAGTGGGTTCAAGATACACTTGCAATCCCTTTGAGAATCCTGGGATGTTGCAGGGATGCAGATTGTATGTATGTCATTGCGTGTCCACATGTGTCCACACTTCTGTTGCATTGTGTTACGGTTTGTCTATTTGAATGCTGCTAGGAAGGCAGACGGATTTCCATGGCCACCCTGCCAGGTATTCCATGCTTTGCTAGATTGCTGCAGCGGAGTCCTGCAAATAATTTTGCCAGGGACCTAGGGCCGGAAGACTTCCTAAGAGCCCAGAAGTTATGGGAAACAAAAGAATGTTTCGCAAGTCTTGCGAATTCTTCAGCCCAGTCTTATACATCTCATGGGAAACGTTCTTTTGTTTATGTCATGTATCGATCTGGTCCAGAAGTCCTTGTTTTATCAGCCAGCAACTGCGATTCTGGTGAAGTTTTGCTTTGCTTGATGGTGCGACATGTCTTGCAATAGCAATGTGCAAGCAACGCGGCTGTTGCTGTTTGATTTTTGATTTGCGATGTGAGTCTCAGATGTTTCTAAAGCCTTGCATCCTTGCTTTCGATGTGTACCCCAATGTATGTGTGCAGGTTCCAGATGGAAACACATGTCAGAAACGAATTAAGTGTTGAAAGAGCATGCGGCAGAAACAAATCCGATGGAAATGAAACAGCATATGGTCGCAAGTCTTTGAGTAGCATACGGTCCTGTGAAAAAATAAGTCCTTGACTTTACATGTCATATCTTCCGCGAAAGTATCAGATTGGAAGAGATGGACATGTCAAAGGGTCAAAAGGGTCCTTTTTGTCGGCCACTTGGCTCAAGCAAGATACCGGACATGTGCTGACTCTCAATGATTAGTTTCACACATTTATAGACATGTTACACATATAAACTTTATCTAGACTTATGTAGACTTACATATAGACTCTATAATAGACTTATATAGCTACATTTGTTTGAAGATTATCCTTGCCAGCTGCGCGAGAAAGCCTTCTGATGGCAAAGCGAGCAAGTGCAGAAAGATCGAGTGGATCCAGTGAGCTGGTCGTAGATCTTGAACTGACAGTGACTGGAGCCCCGGTTGGCCCGGTTGGGCCGGTTGGGCCGGTTGGGCCGGGGAAGGAAAGCAGGGGGGAAACGGTTTGGTGTTGGGGTTGTGGCCAGCAACTCCCTTGCGACAAGTTCGCGAGAAAATGCAACTCCTGTGGTGCTTGGAATGCTCCTGTGATAGAGACGGAGCCAACGATGGCAGACCAGGTGATGACAGTGATCTCTCAACCAACAATTCGTAGAGCGTGGAGCTTTGTTATGGTGCTGTTCGTCACAGGCACCATTCAAGTCATTACAATATCTGGCATTGTGTACATATATCCCAACTTCCTGCCTGAATCAAGCCAACTATCATTCTACTTGCACTGGTTTCTCTGCGTTTGCCTTTGGGCTAACACCATTTTGAACTATGCCGAAGCAGTTTTGAGAGACCCGGGCTTCGTAAAATGCAACTCCAGCGAATCCGTCGAAGAGTATACTTTTTGCCGCTGGTGCCAACAAGGAAAACCACCTGGTAGCCACCACTGTCGTATCTGCAGAAGATGTGTGCAGAATATGGACCATCATTGCCCCTTTATTGGAAACTGTGTTGGACAATCCAATCGTCGGGCCTTTGTCCTGTTCCTATTTTGGTCCGCTTCATCGTTGGGCTACGTGTTGACAATCACTGTGCTGCACTGTTTGGATCGCTCACAAGACATTGCCAGAGATGTTCATGAAGCCGTGGAGTTTCTACCACACTTGAATCTAGACACATTGCCTTTGTACCTGAATCGCTTAATAAACCACTCCTATGCTGGTGTGCATTTGCATGCAGTTGGATTCTTGCTCCTGCTCGGCAGTGTTACTTTCCTCATGACTTTCACCTTGTTGATTCAGCAGGCTCGCCTACTCTGTGCTGGTCAGACTATCATTAGCAGGCTCCAAACAAAACGTTCAGATCGAGAAAAACCCGCGAACGAAGTCCAAGCCAAATCAGGCAACACCTGGCGTCAAAACTGGGAAGACGTCTTTGGCACTGGGCCATGGTGGCTGTTTCTGCTTCCCAGAATTCCTTTTTCTAGCCCAAGTGGTCCTTCCAAAACTGTCTAAGTCTGAGACACTGTTGGCACAAAGTTGCCGGCACATACAACTCAAACTTTAGCTGGAGATGCAGGTTGCAAAGTCACGTGTGTTTCTCCGCTTTTTCGACAGATACATGCGCTAAAGTTGGTAATCGACAGTTGTGCATACTGATATAAGGAGGGAAGCCGCAGGTCCGTGATGGAAAGTGGTCGGGTTTCCCACTTCTCATAGTCTTCTCATTCTGAGATCTGTTTTTCCTGGCGAAACAATGACGCAAGACTGTCCCAAGCTGCACTCAAGCTTTGCGGTACTGCTTGCATCTCCGGTGGCCAAGCCTAGATTTGCAATGTGATGCTATTGGATTTCTCGCCTCCAGTATTGTGGTTTTGCATGATTTGCCCTACCTATCCTTACCTCGCAGGGCCAGGTCGACGCCCTGTATGTTTCAGCAGTGTGTGCGGGCGTGACTGACGTGGTGACCTGATCCGTGACGGATGTAATCGTGTCATGTCGATAGGCAGAAAAAGAGGGATCGGGATTTGCAGGAGACGAACACAGATCTTTCCGTTTGCACTGCTGTGGACATAAAAGTTCCCGCCTTGTCCGAATCATCCAACTGTACCATTTGAGTTTGAACGTGTCCTGTCGATGACAACAGGATGTAGTCTAAATATTTATCGAAGGAAGTTTGGAAGTCAAACTTCTGACAATATGGAGAGATGGAAAAGCAGAGGTGGGAAGAGTCAGAGAAGAGAAGAGAAGAAGAAAGAAGATCAGAGAAGAGAAAGAGTGAGAGGAAAGAAGATGCAGGTGCACGAAAAGGTAGAAAAGGTGCAAAACACTGTGTTTTTCCAAGGGGTTCAGAACAAGAGTGCAGATCCCGAAACCCATGATTTGTGTCTCCAGAGGTCGAAAAGTAGCCTCGCTAAAGCGGCGGGTGCGGAGCCAGATGAGCCATTTGGCCAGATGAGAGATAAAAAATTGCACGCCGTTGTGGTGCGAAGCACATTTCGAAGTCAAAAGTGTAAAAAACTGACGGTCTCGGTCTCAGACCACTTTTGGAAGTTGAGATAATGAAAAAATGCACACCGTGGTAGCGCGAAGCACGTGTCGAAGTCAAAATGCACAAAACACCTCAGTGTCGGACCGCTTTTGGAAGTTGACATGTCGAAAAAGTGCACGCCTGTGGCGCGAAGGTGGCGCGAAGCACATTTCCAAGTCCAAATTTTTAAAACACCACATGCTCGGGCAACTTTTCAAGGTTCAGATGTGGTTTTGCATGGCAGGCGCAAGGGATTCTGCACCTTGCCAAAAGTGAGCAAAACGTGAGGGTTTTGTAGCAGTTTTTGAATCGGCAGGCGTGGGACATTTGAAGAGGATCTGCAAAGATGATTTCGCGTGGCAGGCGCGATGCAAGAGACATGTTCATCAGAGATGTTGGTGCTGATTTCCTGAGAGGGGTTGCATTTTGGAGCATCAGATCTGTAGGTTTGCTAAGATGATTTTGCCTGACAGGCGCAGCACTTTGTATGACCTGGCCTCACTTTTCCGTGGCAGGCGCAGTACTTTAGACAGGAGGAGTGGAAAAAACGCATAACGCATTGGTACGAGGCCGTCAGCTCTGCAGTCAGCTTTCCACTTTTGAAGAAGTCTCGGAGAATTGCTGGTGCCAACTTCAAAAATTGAGGAAGTCTCGCAGAATTGCTTCGGTTTTGATGCTGTCAAGTTCAAGAGTTGAGGAAGTCTCGCAGACTTGCTGCTCTTCTGATGTTGTCAAGTTGAAAAGTTGAGGAAATCTCGCAGAATTCCTTCGTTTTCAAGCTTGCAGATAGACAGGCAGATAGATAGATAGATAGACAGATAGACAGATAGACAGATAAATAGACAACTGCAGCGACACTACACTACACTATGACTACAACTACAACTACGAGTGGAACCTGCAACTACAGCTAACACTACAACTTCAACTACACTTCAACTACAACTACAACAGTTTCAACTGCATTTCAACTACAGCTACAAATACCATTACACAACTTACACAACACTACAACTAAACTACTGCAACTACTACACTACAACTAAAACTACAACTACAACTACGACAACTACTGCAACTGCAGCTGGCACTGCAGCTATAACTGCAACTGCAACTACACCTTCGACTACACTAAAACTACAGCTGCAACTACACGACAACTACAACTACCACTACACTAGACTACACTAGACCACGCTAGATTATAACTACAACTACAACTACAACTGCACGACACACAACTTCAACCTCCACTACACTATGACTACAACCAACACCACCAGTAAACTGCACTACAACTACAGCTACAACTTCAACTACACTACAGCAGTTACCGCTACACTACAGCTACAGCTACACCTACAACTACAACTGCAACTACAACTCCTACGGCTACTACTATCACTACAACTACAATTTCAACTACACTTTAATAGCTACACTACCACTACGACCGCAACCACAACTACAACTGCAACATTACAACTTCAACAACTTCAACTGCACAACAAAACAACTACAACTACAACCACAACTACACGACAACTACAGCTACAACTACGAGTACAACTACAACTACAATTACATTGCACTTCGTTACACCGCACTACATCCTGCAGTTGTGGGTGAGGTGACCACTGTAAGCACTCCAAAAATCACAACCACCTTTCGGTCCATCAGTGGATTCGCTCTGCCATCCATGCATCACAACAACTCACCTCTCTTATAGTTTCCTATCTTTGAAACTTCCGCCACCGCCTTGTGCGGCACTACTGGTGATTATAATATAGTTTAAATTCTCCTGACCTGGTGGTGAGGCCTTGAGTCTACGACGCCGGAGAACTTAGCACCTTCAGCTCACAGTGTTCATATGGAAAGCTCTCTGCTAAGGTATCATTGGAATCAGGTCTACACCTCCTTGATTTCACATCTGCACACACACACACGAAACGAGAAGATCTTGTTGGTACAGCAGTTTTACTCTGGTTGAACTTGCCCATGCTATCCATGGCGCAGCCATAGCACATTTTCTTTGTTATTGCCTGTTCTTCCCCAGCAAAGACTCTTTCTTTAAAAGATGTGGAAAACATGATTTGGGGGAATTATTAAACAGAACTGAGTGTTTGGGGGTTGTGGATATAAACATATATCATATAACGTATATAAACGTTTCGAGAGAGGGACTTCGATTGTCCCAGGTACGAAAATTGTGATCAATGAAAAGGCCCTGACCAAGCGAGTTTCCAGGTCGGTGCCATCCGCAGAGGTCGTATACTCTGACAATCCCCACATCTGACAAACCCCACTCTGACTGTTACACGACGTGTGCGCACTGTTACTCGTCTGGAGTCGATAGCCTATGCAAATTGGAGTTGAACGGTTGATTTTTCTGCTTTGATGTTCTATATCTGATTTTCTACATGGGCAGAAAACCCAATAGAATTACATAGACACTTTGGGCAAAAAGGGGGTGCCATTTCCAAAAGTCTGCGCCAGAGCGAAACAGATCTTGGATCGTTTGGATCTGACACATTCTATAGATTTATACAATTCCTATACAGATCTGTCAGATCTGACATTGCACCGTTCTTTGTTTCTGCATCTCAATGACCTTCGGCCTTGACCTTGGGCAGGTCTTCAGGGCCCGGAGGTCAAAGCGTCAACATGAGCGACACTCGAGTTCAAATGAGCTTCAAGCAGTGAATCCCCAGATCTCAAATGCACTGTGACTGCGTAGACAGTGCTAGTGCAGATTCCTTAAGTCTGATTGACGCATTCTATTTTCACGCTGGTAGCAGAACATAACGCTGGCCAAGAGAACCAGTTTGCCTTGTCCAACTAGAGCTTCTGTTGGATATGGTTGAATAACTGGGACAGTCTCTGCCATTTTGGCCTTTGGCAACTGATTTTGCTTGGGATGGCATCAATGCATGCGATAGCAATGCGGATTGAGGTTGGACAAAGTGGATTGGATCCCAGAGAAGGTTTACACCTCAGAACCTTTCCGACCGTGCTGATGACCTTTCTAAACACATAAAAGGAAGGGAACACTTTGTGGCCCTCTGTCAAAGGCATTTCTTTCAACTGAGAATCAGAGGGGATCCAGCAGGTGGAAAGACTTGTGCAACAACGTGGTATTGGAAGAAAGTGCAAAAGAATTGAAGTTCCTTTGTGTGAAAACAGATTCGCACTCAAAGCTGCAGGTTCGGCTAAAAATGCGAGAGATACACAAGAATCGGATTAGCAAAGCTGGAGAATTTTCTGTAGCTTGCGAAGACCTCGGACCTGAGCTGCATTCCTTTGCTGTGGATTTTCTGGAGAACGTTTGGCAGTTTTTCATTTCTTATTTCCTGACCTTCTTTAGTCTATTAGTGTGCTGTGTGTTAGCCAGAACCCGCGGGAAATTGATGAGGCCAGCAGACCTCGTCTCAGCTTGACAATACGCACGGCATCTCAGATATCCCAAATTCGTTGAGGTGTCATGGCAATTGCGCATCTATAGTCATGGGTCAATAATATCCCCATCATGAAATTCGCAGGAAGATCGCTATCAAGAAGATCGGCGAACTTATAGCTGAGGCCACTTGATTGTAGCGACCATGGTCATAGCCGAGTCATAGCCAGCAATCCTTGCAAGCCATGCTTTTTATTTCATTTTCTTATCTGATTTGGAGGGAATTTCTTGTACATCTCCTTGACTGCTTCTGAAGGCAGAGAAAGCGGTGAGAGACGATGAGTGGGAGAGTGGAAAGCTGGAGAGAGCTGCGCTCCGCATTTGGAACGATTCAGTAGGGCAGTGTTCATCCCAGAAGGGTCGTCTTGGTCATCTTGCGCTTCTTGGCGCTTCTTGGCGCTTCTTGCCTGTTGAAGTCGGGAGTCTCTTCCTTATTTGGGTGCTTGACCTGATGTCATCTTATGTCCACGTATTAGTCTGCAGTCAAGAGTCAAGAGGACTTCGGATAGTGGTCCTGTACAGAGTTAGGTTTGAGAGAACCCATCCCATGTTGTCAAAACACAGAAATCCCTAGTCAACAGTTCACTATGGCAACCTTAAGTGATGTCCGCTTCTGAAGAGTTGCAATGCAGGACTTCAAAGAGCACATTGTTGAGAGGTTCAAGCCATTGCCTGAGCTGAAGAGCTCACTGATACAGAGCCTCTGAACTCCATTGAACTTCTCTCAAGAATTTGGGCCTCGGTTTTGGCCTTTTGAAAGGATCCAGTCCAACCACCTGATGCAAGCAACACGCTCCCGAGGCGGGAAGGACGAGAAAAAGACCTGGAAAAGCGAGAGCAGGAGGGAAGAAACATGGTGACACAGGTCTTGGAGATCCAACGTTCGCAATGGACGGAGATGTGAACTCAAAGACAAAGAGTGACAAACTTGTCAAATCTTGTCAATCCACAGCGATTCTCGCCATGAATTCGTATAGGTGACCAAGCATAGCGGTATAGGGCACAGGAACAAATTGTCAAGAGTCGCACCTTGTGTTTCCTGAGTAGGCGATCAAAGAAACTAAGCGTCGCATGCGTGAGAAGACGAAGAACAAGAAGATTTCAATGTATTGAAATGATTCTCAATTGATTTAGTTTTGGCAGCAGGGCTCACTTTAGCCACTGCCAGCATTGTTCAATGAGACAAGTTGCATTTTTGACCTTTCACAACTGATTTTTCCGCTCTTTGGGAAGCGCATGGTGAAAAAAAAGGGAGTGCTTGCGTGAGAGGGTCCCAATGTCCAAGTGAAGTATGGCCGTCCAAAAGGTGAGGACAAGACCGTGGCACAACTCGGCACAACTCGGTACGACTATGACATGTTGAACTACAGTGACCAAAGCCTGTATTTACTGCCACTCTCAGCAGTTCTCCGGGCTCGACCTGAAGGCGAGCTGAGATGAACCCTTTGAGCCATTGTGGCACAAATTGCCACAAATTGCCACAATATCATACTCAAAATACTGCAAAATACTGCAAAATACACTGAACGTGTCAACAGAAAAGGCGAACCTTTGATCTATTTTGATCCATTCTTAGCTTTTGCAATTCACCTGCGCACAGTCAATACCTTGCAGACCACCGGCACGTACTTAGGAAAATGGTAAGACGCAGGTTTATGCATCCACAAATGTAAAGAGGGAGTCATTCGATGTCAGAGCCTGGAAACTCAGCAAAATGTTTAGCAACTTCGTCCGCCCAGATTTGCGGATAGATTGGACGATCTGTGCTCAAATCACAGAGATTTTGAAGAACGACTTAAAACGACTGTGTCGTTACTGGTGGTCCAGGTCCAAAGGAAAGCCCCGCAAAGGCGGCAAGGCGAGGAGCCGTAATATGAATAATTTACACCATTCTGGCATATTCTGGCGAACTCCTGGATTTCCGCTCATTTTTTAGCAGTTCATAGGACGTTTCGGGAGATCTAATCCCATTTCGTTTACTTGCTTTATAGATTTTTTTTTTACCATAGTTCAATACAGTTTACCTATCTTGCCTTATTTTTACTTTGCCGACATGTCTTAGAATGTCTTCTTCGATGATACAGAGCCGATTTGTCGGCATTGTTTGGCGCAGGTTGCTCAGGCTGCCAAACTTGACAAGCGTGAGGTGTGGTCATTCAGAATCTGCACAGGAACTGGTGGGCAAGCATTTCATGCACCATTTTGAATGGGTAAATCATGATAAGACATCCATAAATGGGCCATTTTCCATAGCTATCTTGAGCAACCAGAGGGTGATTGGAACATGTGGGAGAGGAGGAAGGAACAGGAGCATGAGCTTGCCCGTTCTTCGAAAGAAAAAGTGACAGATAGGAGCAGTCGAAGCAACTATGCAGCGCATCGAAGATTATCATTTTTTGTTTCTGTATTGGGCTATGTTGTCGTTTGTGGTCGTTTGTTGTCGTTGACCGGTGATAAACTTTCGCGACTTCCCGATTTCCGTGGCCGAGCTCAACAAACGCAGGTCCGGCGCCAAACTGCCCAGCGGAGAGTCGGCTTAGGCCTGGCCGGAGCGGTCATCCAAGTGAATCATTTCTTGTCCGAAAAGGAGAGTCTCGAAAGATCTCGAACGTCTCAATCCAAAGCCAATCCAAAGTTTCAAACTTCGGAACTTCTCCAAAGCCCGAATCGAAAGCTGCATCAAGTCGACTTGCAAGTAGGTATTTGAGTGCCATGTCCTATGTCGAAAGATGCTGCAACCATTGATTCGCAAAGTATGTAATCTAAGGAAGTACAGTCTCTGCCGTCTCTGCCGCCTCTGCAACCGTCCACAGCCCAAAGATGTCTACAGTCATACTGTGCCAGGTGAGGAGGACTTCGCCCAGTGCCGATCCGATCATAGCATTGTGAGCTTTGTGCTAGGTCCTGTTCTTTTTTCTCTTCCTTTGCTAGGTCTTTTCTTGACATTTTTCACAAGAATCTGATCCTGGAACTTTGGCAAAGGTCTCGCTGTCCATGCTTACCTGCTAACTTTAGTGCTAGCTGCTAGCAAGTAAGTCTAGGGTGTCTCTTTCCTGGCTGAAAAGGTATAGCCATGTCGACGCAGAAGTGAAGACTCGGAAGGACGACTCTTCCGAATCTTCTCGCGGAGAGCCCGTGTTGAGCTCAAAGCTGCTGAGCCACAGAGTCAGAGAAGTTTGCACAGAGTAGTCTCTTTCGTAGTGCGTGTTGTGTGGTCGCAACGCTCAAGTGACATGATTGACATTACCAGACCATATCCTTCCATATCGTACCTGCTACATCCTTCCAAAACAAACACTGCTGGCACCCTCGCAAGGAAGAGAGTCAAGACGAAGAAGATGGGATTGCGGAGGAGCCTAGTCTGCTCATGCTTTTGCTGTTCTCGTCACACCGTCGTGAGTCAGGGATTCACTGGCCGGTGCCTCTTCTTGCCACTGTATGTAACTGTCTTCCTTTTGGTATGGCAATACCTGAGTCAATTTTGTTGCCGTCCTACTCGCTTCTTGTGGTAATTTGAACTGCCTTCTGATTTGCAGCACCATGAACTTTTATATAAAACTTTCCTTCCCTCGATTGCTTTTCTGGATCCTTTTTTCCATTGTCAAGGAGGATGTGAAATCTTCCTGGAAGCCTTCAACCTCTTCAACATCTGCCAGGGAGGCCACGATTGATAAGGAAGAAGACGAAGAAATCAAGGCGAGTAGTGGCAGAGACTTTGTCACTCCGTTACCAAGAAATGAATGTAGAAAGATGAAACAAGATGAAGAAAGTACACTTGGAGAATCTTGGGGTTGTGTTTTGCAGATTCATTTGTCATCGTTGTGCCTCTGGGCTTTTGGCTGTTTGAAGCCCTGGAATGACGCATTTTAGGACATCAAAAGAGGCATTCGTGCTCAGCTGTTGAGCTGGGCCAAAGATCCTGGAATGCCCTTGGAGGAGCTCTTCGGAGTGACCAGCGTATTTTGAGAAATCAGGAGGCAACGATTCTAAACACAATGGCATTCTCTGGCATCCTCGCAGATTTTCGCACCCATATCGTGTATACAGTATACATAACAATACATAACATAAGATTATATATATATATATATAGAATGTATTATATATAAGTATGTGTACATATACGACTTCAGGAGCAAAAGCGAATGGTACGACAACTCCTTGCGCAGTGGCATCCGGACAAGCCGCTCGACAAAGTCCCTGCATCATTCCATCAGAAGGAAGGCAACACAGGAGGGTCACACTGATCCTGTTTCCACATGTTTCCAAATGTTTCCAGTGTTGCGTCAAGACTTTCACCACTTGTGTGCCTCCCAAGATTTCATGGGAATATGTCGGTTTCGTCAAGGTTGGAGTGGAGAGAGAGAGTTGAAGCCAAGGAACCGGCACATTGGACCAACAGCTACACGAATCTTCCAGTTCATACAAGAGGAGGCCCCTTGGAACTTTCCTGAGCAGGTAGCAGTAAGCCGGATACGAAGGAAGGGTTTCTTTCCATTTGTTGCCTTGAGAAAGGACAACCAGAAGTATTGTGGAAGGTAGACGCTTTAGACCAACACTGACAGCTTGTCGTGATAAATTATATGCTCTATATATACACTTTGGCCACTGAATCGAAGGCAGACTTTTCTCGATCGATCTCGGGGCTCCTTATCCATCTTTGTTGCTGATGCTTCAGACCGGCTCCGGTCTTGTTGGATTCCAAGTGTTTTTGCCTCGACGAGGTTGAAAGGATTGTGTCGCAGCTGGAAGCAGAGTCTGATCTAGTGGCGAAAAAAGCCATGGAAGCGCAAGAGCGGAAGGCAAGGATGAGAATGAAGTTGCAGAAAAGTGCAGTACAAACAATGCTGAAGTCTGAAGTCAGTGTACGGCAAGCATTATGAATCAGGTACAGAGCCGTCATGAGCTTTTGGTGTCGATTTGAATTGCATACTCCTTTGAGATTCAGATACCTTCCGGACTCAAACACGCGGGTTTGCCATTGGTAGCAATTCCAGGCCCAGCGTTTTGCTGAACGCTCTGCGAAAACATCCGCTTTGGAGGTCCGGTGACGTTTTGCCACTTGACACTTCAAAACATCCTAAGGCAGTTCTTGATGCAGACATCCCCTTCATTGCAAAATGTTGTTCACATGACAGTGCCCGTAAGGATAATACAGGACAACACTACCAAATCTCAAAGGAGCATGATAGGATTCAAAATCTCATTGCTTCAGGCAGCGCGCAAGGAGAAACGCGAAAAGCGCGGGGAGGAACCAGAACCGAAGAAAGTCCAAGAGGCGAGGATTGTCGGAATGCCATTGAAGTCAGTGGCTTCGACCCGTATATCAGCTTATATATCAGCATTCGGATTGAGAACTACTGTAAGTCCTGGAGACCACCTCCGTGTGCTTCACATTTATTTCCATTCTTCTTGTGGATCTATGGGCATGCTATTTTGATGACAAAGTGACGAAGTGTCAACAGCCCTGGATAAACACGACCCCGCCCAGGCTGCTGAGACGGAGGCAGGGCAATTTCAACCTTTTTGAACTCATGGAGTCATGGAGCCTTGTGGGGCCTTATGGGGATCATGGATCATTGCGGGGTTTCAACTTTGTCAGTGCCACTTTGAGCCATACTGAGGCTGAACCACAGGAGTGGTCCTTGGTGATTGGTCATGGCCCAGCCACCACAAGCTTCTTGCGACCCTGGCCAAGGATGATTCACTCGCAAAGCACCGGCAGGGGCTGGAATCGCCAATCACGTGAAACCCCACAGCGAACTAACCTCCCTGGCTGTGCTGGAAGCAGTTTTGGTGGGGCTTAATCCCCTTTGGCCATAGTCATCATCGTCATCGTCATCGTCGTCATCATCATCATCATCACCACCACCACCAGCATCAGCATCAGCATCAGCATCATCATCATCATCATCATCATCATCATCATCATCATCATCATCATCAGTATCAGCAGCAGCAGCGCCACCACCACCATCATAGTCAGTGCAGCAGCTTCGGTAGCATGTTTTCATTGTTGTCATTTTCACTGACGCATTTCTTTTTTATACGAGCATCTTCATTATCTTCATCCTCCTGCTCCTCCTCCCCCTCCTCTTCCTCCTCGCTGCACCCACCCTCTAGCTTTTGTTCCCCACCTTCGGCTTCAAGTAATCATCACGTCACACCTGTCACGCCTTTCTTGAACAAGAAACCGAGGGTTTTGATATTCCTCCCAGGTCCCAGTCAATTCTTGCCCGCATGGCCCTGATGTGAAGGAGCCACTTCACAATCACTTCAAGCCACTTGCCTGACAGAGGACTGTATATGAGATTCGATTGGGTACAGGTCAGAATCGATGTCAAACTACTCTTAACTTGGCTTAACTACGGGTCAGGTTTCCAACAAAGCTCATCAGGCGATGTTCGCCACCATTTTCCCTTCACTTTCGCTGAAGAGCATCATAACCTTACCGTTGACTGGATGCTCTTGGATGACGTGATGTCAAACTCGACACACACACACACATTGCCAGGAGTAGTTCGGTCAAAAAGTGCCAAGCCGCTTCTTCCCCTCCCTATGCTGATTGCCAGTCTTCGCATAACTTGTGAGGGAACCTGTCGCAGACATTCGTAGACACGAACAGATTTCACTTGCTTGCTTGTACAGTATTAGATTCACTAATTGAGAGAACCTTGCATTTTTATGCATTTTCGATATACTGCAGACTTCGTGCCACTACTTCTGGGAAACATATTCTTGACATTAAGAGGACACGAGATCCTGATATTTGGCGGCGAAGCCTATGATGGACGTGAACTCACATTTTATTCAGCTCCTTGGTGGTCTAAATTCTATGCGGGATATTTAAATAAAGGCGATCACCCAGCAACAGGATCAGAAGAAAACAAAGAAGGAGCAGTACAAAGAAACAGTAAAGGGAGGAGAACCTGTCCATGGCAAAAAATGTACAACCACTAAAGTGAGTCTAGACAGCAGGCATGAAGGGCCCGTTGCAGAACTTTTGCGTGTTCTCTTCAGCCAAGACAAGAATTCAACCAAGGATCTCTACCGCCTCGACATGGGTGCAAAGCTCAGCTTGGGGTCAAGGGTTCAGCTGAGTCAGGATTGACTCTTGCATTTGCCTATGTCAGTTCCAGAGAAGAGGATGTCAAGAGGATGTCAGAGCAGGTTCATTCTGGGATTTTGGGAACGGAGATTTGATCCACTGGCCCACTGCTTTCACCCATGTTGCTTGTGATTTTTCCACCCTCAGTTGCAAACCTGTTGGGCACATTGAGCCCATGAAGTATGTCGGTACGAGTCAGCATCGCAACTGGACAACTGCATGAAAGGTTCTGTCGACACAGATACGCCTTTGCCCTGGGAGTGACTGTGCTGCAACCAGATAAAGAATACAGTAGACTTCGTTTACTTCGTTTCTGGGCGCTAAACTGCTATGTCTTCTTGTGGTCATACCTTGAATAAACAAGTTTTGGGATCTGGTGTCTCTAGATGTGGCAAATGATGTCTAAAGAGCCTTTGGCTGCAAAAGAGACATGACCGGAAATGGCAAAAATGGCAGTTGTAAACTTGCCATACTTCTTGACCTTGTTTTCAAGAAACACGCATTTATCAATTTTCTTTGGGATTTCCTGCATCGCTTCCACACATTTTGCGACTTGGCGACAGCTGCGCCATGGAAGATGGCAAGCGGCTTATGGGTCTGGATGTCATGCGTGGCATCACAATGGCAGTGATGCTTATAGTGGATGCTACGGGTGAAGCCTATCCGACCATCGGACACGCTCCATGGAATGGCTTACATTTGGCGGACTTTGTGATGCCATACTTTTTGTTCATCTCTGGTATCAGTGCCTCCATTTCTGTCAAGATACGTCCTAGGCAGCTGGCTAGAAGCATTTTCTTGCGTGTCTTGTTTCGTGTGTTGCGTCTTTTTGCGCTGGGCATAGCTGTGCAGGGCAGTATCTTTCATGTCACCGAAGGCGGGCCACTTTTGTTACTGAACCTCAGTACAGTCCGCATCATGGGCATCCTGCAGCGCATCGCAATAGTTTTTCTGATTGTCATAGCAATTGAACTCTTCATTCCTGCCCGTCGCACTGACCTGACTGGAGCCCTTTTGTATGAGGAACAGCAAGGCATTGGACTTTGGATCATTTGGCGCACTGCTTTGAGATGGGCGTCGGCATTGGCTGTTGTCCTTGCCGGAGAACTTCTCGGCAGTTTGTCTCCACCATCGAGCTGGCCGGGCTGCGCGCAAACATTGTATTCATCAGATCCCTCCAGAGCGGATGCCCAACAGTTGCATGAAATGGGCTGTAGCAGTGTGGGATGGCTGGATTCTTTGTTGCTCGGTGTGAATCATTTGTACATTACAGGCAACAATCAGGGCCCAGAAGTGGATGCCAGCTTTGGCTTTGATCCAGAAGGATTGGTCACCACTCTGAATGCCGTTTTTCCCATGTTTGTGGGCCTCCACGTCGGTCGTGCTGCTCTCCTACTAGATATGAAGAACTTGTTTGTGCATTGGACTCTTCTTGGCACCTTTTTCTCAGTACTTGGTTTCTGGATGACTACTTGGATCGCATTCAACAAGCGGTTGTGGTCACCATCATACAGCCTCTTCACCACAGGGACTGGCATTTTGATGTATGCCCTGCTCTTCCTGCTGTGTGATCACAATCTTCCTGTTTCTCGGTCTGCATTGTCTGCGTCATTTGGAAAGGTCGGACGCTTCTTGAGCAACATCCTCAGACCATTCCAATGGCTTGGATCAAACTGCATCCTGTTCTTCGTCTTCTCTGAGTGCTGTGGTGTCCTTTCATGGTTCTTGCAGACTATAACATGGGGTGCCCAGAATGCCAAGCAGAACCTGGTGAGCTGGTTCCATGACAAGTTCTTGTGGCATAGCTGTGGTTTAGGAAAGAGCTGCACCAGTCAAAGCCCTTGCGGCCCTGTGGAAGTTGTCTTCACTGCTGTTGGTCTACTTTTCTGGATCTTGGTTTGTGGCTTGCTGCATCGCAAGGGCATATTTTGGAAGATTTGAGAATTTTGAGAGCCTGATGCGGAAAACAGGGTTGCATTGTTGGATCCAATTGAACCAAGTTGGTGGCAGAGTGCACGTGTTTGTACATTCTGCACGTCTATTTGACAATGGCGTTTCATAGTTTCATATCATGATTATCTTCACATATGAGGATTGTCACTGCTTCTTGGCACCATCGGGTCGTTTTGTAAGACACACATGCATATCACACATTAAATAAGCAGATATCTAATCAGAACAAATCTCATCAATCCTCTTTGGGCCTTGATTTATCGGCAAATCGCAACCGATCGAGGAAGCTCTATAGTGCAGTGCCCACCATCCCGGGACCCGAAGCACGATCTGCTCACCAGGCCGTGCCCAAATTACTCAAAATGAATATATAAATGAACATATTTCAACATATTTCCACATTTTTCTCTGAAAATCCATGCCTGTACTACTTGCATCATCCTTACTTTCACATGCTTCCACAATATTCAAATGGTAGCATTTTGGCAGAGGTCTTCAGAGGCAGAAGCAGAGTCAATAAGACTTTTTCCTCTTGTGACTCTTGTGTTCGATTGTCCAGATCGTCCTTTGTGCAGGCCTTTTGCTGGGAAGGGTTTCTCTACGTCTTTGGCGGAGAATGGTCAAGTCGAGACCAAAAGCGTTACCGTGACTCGCCGATCTTGATGAGTTCTACCTTGTGAGGTTTCAGATCATGCATTTCTCTCAGTGATCCATCTCCAGTAAACTTTTTTTGCATGCAGCCCGTAGCCCGCCACATACAATCCGATGCACCTTGTTCGATCCAATATCAACAGTGTTCTCCTGATTGTGTATGATATTCTGGGTACCCAAACACCTTACTCTTGGCGCACAATTCAAGCTCCATATGAGCTTGGCTTCAAAGTGCGTTTTGGACAATGCATTCGTTATGCTTGCTTCTGTATCTTCTATACTGTACTTTTACACTGTATCTTTATATCCTTTACATCCTCGTATTGAATGTTTTGGTAGTCTGTAGATGTCTGTAGGATGTTGATGCCTGTTGCATTCGTTGGCATTGATCAGAGTGCCTCACACCCTCCCAACGGAGGTCAGTTCCGAGACCTCTGGCGGTTCGATGCCCGGGCCATGCCAGGGACACGCTGGGAACACCTGGAGGCACTCCACGGGTTGCGTGGCAGTTCATGTTGTCCACGGAGTGCACATACCCAAAATACATCAAAATACAATTGAGGTATGTATGATAGACTTTGATAGACCGTCATATTATCTCTTGCACGTCAATAGTTGTAATTACATTATCGCACCATGAGAAAATCGTCCTGCTGAACATTGCAAGCTTCCATTTACGTATTGACACATCTTATCGAATCTTTTCAATTTGTATAAATGTCGATCACACGGCAACTTCATATAGGCTGCCGGTGCAGTGCCAGAGCAGCGCAGCGGGCATCGTATGGCCACTGCAGGGTCCTATGGAGTTACTTGGTCCAGACTTGACGGGAAGATGTGGAAATACGCAGGTTTTGGATGAGTTTAACAAACGAGAGGTTGAGATGATATCGTGAGCTTGGAGTCAGCACTTGCCACAAGGTGCTCTTTGGTGGATTCACAGAGGACAAGAAGCGAAGGCCCACGTATTTAGATGACTTCTATGCCTTGCACTTGCCGAGTCACACTTGGAGAGCCTTGCCTTCCACCCGAAGTCGATCTGAAAGCTGCGTGTAGCTAACGTTAGGTAGAAATGTCCAAATATTCTTCCAATATCTTCCAATATCATGAACTTTGTCGCCCGTTTGCTCATCCTTCTTCGACTTGATAAGCTACTTCCAGTTAAAAGAAACATGCGAAACCTCTTGCAGATTTCAAAAGTATTAAATCCCAAAGCCCGGCAAACAACTAACATCCGAATCCCGTTTTCTATGGCTACCAAGGATTGTTGCCAACATCCAGCGACAGAAGAGCACGGCCAGTCTCACGATCTGGTGGTTTACTCTTTGCCGCAGCTACATCTGCCTGGAGCCCCAGCGAAGGTTTTCAAGACTGTTTGTTTGGACGAATTCTTGTGGACTTCTACTCATTGCAGTAACATTCCTGCAAGAAAGGAGCGTTTCAGATGCTGGAAGACTGTCGCTATATGTTGCTATTTTGATCTATTTTGCACGTTTCTCATCCTTTGAATATGAGGTCTTCATTTACGGTGGATCAAGACCAACCCGAAAGGGTGGTGATTCCTTGCAGGTCTTGGAGGACGATTTCTGCTAATTGGCATTTTCAGACTACACTGCAGACAAGGGTCAATTCTACTTACTTTGGAACATGCCAATATCGTAATTTGCATATGGTGTAGATATGTGTAGATGCATGTTGTTACGATATCATGTATGTAATACAGTATATGAATTATACATATGATATGTCAATATGCAATAATATATATATATATACACACGTACACACACACACATATATATATATACACATACATATTATATATATATGCATATACATATACACAATACATCACATACTTACAAATGTACTTGTTTGTTAAGTTTTCTTCACACCAGGATCTTTGGCGAGCGCGACTTGGTAGCGATGGCGGCGCTCTGTGGGAGCAGCTCACTGCAGAGGGTGAGGCATGAGCGGCTCGTACTGTAGCAGTTCCATGTTGTGCTTCAGCGCTTCAGGTCTAGATGTATTCTGATTAAAAAATCTATGGAATTTGTTTTGGATTCGGTAGCTTCTAAGGGAGTTGGTTGAACATGCCGTTTCCCATGCTTATTCTGCTTCCATTCCTAATTGTGCAGCTGGTTTTGCAACTATCGTTGGCTGCGCATAGTCTATCGTATTTGTGGAATGATTCATATTGCTTGAAGTCTCACTAGAGTCAAGAGGTACCTGTACAGAGCTTGCATCATGAGACAGGACCTCAAAGCGCAAAATCAATGACATAGATGTAGCAACATGAGACTAATATGTCACCAGCCCTTCACAGCCTTCACCATCACAAGGGCTAGCGCCAACACTCAAAAGCATGATATTGGCGGTCGCATGATCGAGCATGATATCACAGCAGATTGATGGTCACCTGGACACATTGGTCACTACAGAGACCATACACTGCCAGGGTCCTGGTCGACGAAGTGGTCTCTGCCACTGAGCTGCAGCTGGTGCTCGGCATTTGTGAATTGTGCTATGCGTGGCATTTGCGTGACTTTCTGAGGTCACTGTTCTGAATCGAAAGCAATATATATATATAATATAATATATAATATATATATAATATATATATATAATATATATAGATAATATATATATATATACTGTAGATGTTTTCATTTAAAATTCTCCACTGGCTCTCGCTCCAAAATGCTCCAAGCTCCAAGGTCATTGTCCTCTGTTGCCAGACGAACCCCTGCGTCGGCTTGTCTTTGGTGGTGTGGCCGATCATCGGGTAGTGCCTTGGTACCCTTCAAGTCACTTCAAGTCACTTCAAGGCCCGCCCAAGAGGCTTATGCTCCAAAAATAGCTTGAAGTCGCAGGACACTCCTAAACCAAAGATCCTGCAACAGGTGTTTGGAGATGTTTGGTTTTTGCTTCTTGGACCTCTCAAACCTCTCGCACTTTGGTCAAGGCATCTAGCTCATCCGACGGCACCAAGCGTGCAGCTGAAGTTGCTGTCTTCCATCAAGACATTTTCCTATTGGACCGATGAAACAGACTCCTTCTCCAAAATAATCATCAAGCAGATTTTGTTGTAAAAAATCAATTCTTGCAGATAGATGCCTTGTTGATACTTTTTTCAAAAGAGAGGATGCAGCGAGGTATCTCCAAGTGGCATGAATGTAATGGTCATGCAGCCGTGTTACATTATGGTGACATGTCCATTTCTCTCTGACGGAAGGACTGCACTGGCACTCCAAGATGGACTCGTTTGTGGCCCAGACCTGGCACGCAGCCGGTTGCAGCTCCTCAGGTGTGATGATTTCGATGAACCTGTGACGGTTTAGATGGGCTGATTATCAGACAGACATGGTATGTAGATCAGGTTGTGATATCGATCAGCCCTGATTAACAACGATTAATCACATTCCTCCTATTTCCTCCTAAAGCTGTGCCAGGCGGCTGTACTCCCGGAAGATTTGCTCATGCGTGGAGGGGGTGCAGATGCCCAATGCCTGGCACTAGCCGTGCACCAAGGCTCATTTGCTTTTTCCGTCTTTTTCCATTTCATGTTACTGTATTTGATTTTTTTTTCCATTTCATCTTTTTTCATTGCGACTTCTGGGTGTTTGCGAAGAAGAAACATGTAGTATGTTTGGCTTGATATGGCTCTGTTCTTGCTTTGCCTTTCCAAGATTGGTACGCATGGCAACAGGTGGTTGGACCCCAGGGAATCAAAGTGACAGTGTCCACGAGACCGCAACCCTGGGAGATGTCCCGGAGATGTGGAGAGTTTTCAGTCCATAGGATTTTCGTGTCCTGGCAGAGGTGCCAAAGCCAAGAGCGGCGAGGCTGCCCGGCAGGCCTACGGACAACGTGGAGATAACGCACGAAAAATCTGTGTTTCTAGCAATTTCTTATCTTGTGCTTTAAGTTCTCAAAATCAACAATTTCCGTCTCCTGTTTCTATCCTCGAGTTTTCACAAATCTTGCCAAAGGCTTTCAGATAGAGATGTGGAACTTCTTGAAAGGCTCCGCGTGGGCGAATGGCGGCTGGCTGTATGGTAGCGCAAGGTGCCGAGGGAAGGATCTAGTCGTTTCACCTTGGCGTTTGATTTTGCTGATAGTATCTGATATATAGCTGTTTCAATCTGAATAAACCACAGCATGCTTTGACTGTTCTCCTAGAAAGGATCCTTCTGGGTCTTTGGCGGCTCTTGCGAATCTGGCCCGAAGCAGGAGGTGCACAAGTGAAATCGGAGATTCGGTGATGCAAAGTCGGATGTAAATGAAGATCAGACTCTTTCGAGCTGTCCAGCTAGAAAGTTTCCAGAATTCACCGTGGTCAGTGAGTTGTTGGTCTTGAGAAGGGAAAGCTCTATGGCAGTGGCATCTTGATTCTGTGCAGCCTTGGTTGATCACGCCCCACCGATCATTTGCTCAGGGTGACATGAAGCAAATACATTAGAATGCCGACAATTCCCTTACAAATGTTGCAATACAATCAAATTCAATCACTTCCAGACATCATACATTGGGCATCAAGGGCGAGCCAGTAAAGTCACTTCACAGCTGTGCCATGTCATGCCCACCCTTCGCTTTGAGGTCACGCTGGACGACCTGTGGCGAATACCATTGACTCGCAAAGATAAGGACTATCTTCTCAGATCTTGGATAGCTTGTTGTGCGGCAATCAATTCTCTTGTTCTATCTCATTCAGTACCATACTGTATTTTCTTCCTCCTGTGCTGCAAATCTTCACTGATCAACTGCAGTGTTCGGAAGAACACTGTGAAACGAGTTCGTGTACGAAGCCTGGGTTGTTGCTCGCATTTTCCTTAGGTTTCTCTACAAAAAAGGCTCAATTTCTACAGATACGAACATGCTGGTCATGAGCATCAACTTGTGCTGCTGTCCAGGACGTCGTTGAGTGTGGCGATCAGTGGGAGTATTTTGGCCCAGAAAGATATGTGCTCCTGTGAGCTCATGTGTCGCAAGGGCAGGGAATTTGTCCAAGTTGTAGGGACTTTTGGGCAGAGTTTGGCATAAAGCGGGGCACAAAGCTCAATCTCCAAAGTTAGATTCCATTAGACATCAGATACGTTGAATATCGTTGAATTACCTTTCAATTGCCTTTGGAATTGCCTTTGGAATTGCCTTTGGAATTGCCTTTGGAATTCATTGGAATTCCCTTTGAGGTGTGTCCTTCCTTTGAGCGATCGCGCCACCATTTGGTTCGAGTCATCGGACTCTGAGGCCCGAAGCTAGAGCAGCTACCTGAAACAAATGCGTGGAAACTGTGGAAACATATGAAAAAACCAAAAAACATATGAAAAACAAAACATGCTTAGACAAAAACGAGAAACGACTGGTGGAAAGCTCCTCGAAGCTGCAGACAACATATCGACTCATAGTGTATGTGGTCAGTGTTTTTTTTTGGACACAAGTGGCAGACTGATTGCAGCATGCACTAAGAAACGGAATGTTGCACAGGATGAAGATTGGGAAGAACCAGGCCAACGTTCTGATTTGTGCAGTTGTTGACTTTTTGCTTGGGATCTATATATATATATTGCAAAGTGTTAGACAAATATCCACCCATACATTTGGTCTTGAGCTATCGAGGGGATTGGCATTCCACGCAAGATATCCGACGCTTGTAAGGCAGACCCCATCCTGATGGCACCTTAGTGGAAGTGAAGAATCCAGGCTTTGGCATTTCCGCTCTGTTCGTCAACCCTTCTTGGATTGGACATGATCCCAACACGTCCTAATCCTCACCTGGTTCACAGCACTGCTTGTGTGAGCGTCTCCCTAAAGAAAAAAGTGCTTTTGCATGCCTCAAAGGACTGCTTGTGTCATCATGGCAGAGTGAAACAACATAGTGCTGCATAGTGCTCACATGTTCATTTTGACTGATTCTGATCGTCATGGAAGCTGTCGCCTGTTTGACAATTCTTGTGCTTGCTACCGTTAGGGGGCGGTGTGCTCTCAAAAAAGCAACAGAAGGAGACCAAGTACTCACGAAACACGTAAAACAATGGAACATGTGTGAGATGTGGAACATGGTCAATGACCGAAGAGGGAAGGAAGAAACCACTGTGTAGGTATTGCAACATTGAAGAATCACGGTTTTAATGAATATACATAATGTAACACACACACACACGTGTATGTATATAATTGTATATATATATATGATATATGATATATATATATATATTATATGATATAATATATAACACACACACATATATACATATATGTATAATATGATATAACATAATATAGTATAATATAATATGATATGATATGATATGATATGATATGATATAAGATAACATAACATAACATAATATAATATAATATGATATGATATGATATAATATAATATAATATAATGTATATATATACTATATTCATCAAAATACATACATCATGACGATTTAAAAGGCTCATATCTCAGACATTTTGTATATGTCCTTTATGAATTGGACACACGGGGACGTCCCAAGGAGGAAGCCAAGCGGGCTCGCATGGAGATCAAACGCGAGAGACAAGCAGAGAAATGCGAGGCTTGAAACACGGCAGTCGAGATTTTTCTGTCGACTTGTTTTTGTTCCAGTGGTCACTGGTCACTTGTCGGCCTATCGGCCACTTATTTACCCTGTTTGTACGGCTCTGTATTTGTTTGCTGCGTAGTTTCCAGACTTTCTTGCCTTGTCATGTCCTTGCTGCCAGGAAAAGACTACGAAGAAGGAGTTGAAAAAGGAGCTAGGAGCTTTGCAGGGATCACTGGGAAAATGACTAGAACCACGGAAATACAAAAAACGTTGACAGATTTGCGTTTTGCACGACCGAAGGAGGGGAACTTTCTTGGGATCTGCTGTCTACCAAGGCGGCAACGGCAGCAGGCAAAGCAGCAATGAAGCCAAGCGACGTATTTCTGGTTTCTCCGTCGCCTGCGCCTCCTTAATGTTAGGGAGTGCAACATACCGAAACGTCCCAACACTGTATTTTGTTGATGTTTTAGTTGATGTCTTAGAACATCTTAGAAACAATGATTCAACTCCTGAACTTGCGCACTCAAGCCTGAAGAGCTGTTGATCCGCGACCGTTGAAGAGCGTTTGTGCAAAAAGATGCTTCCATCACTGTCCGTGATCCGTGGAATTCGCTTTGGGACTGTTGAGGGTACGAGCCCGCCTGAGTTTTGCAAAGAGCCATCAAGTCACCGCGGTTCCAATATGTGTACTAAATGTGGACATTCCAGGTTTGACACAAGGTTTCAGGGATGTAGTGGCTGAAACCTGTTGAGTTTGAAGTGAGTGCGTGTGTTGTTGAAGCTTTGCTTGAAAATTGTTGACATTTGTTGCGAGGTCGCAAGGTTTTTTCCCCGCCGTTGGCAAGCTTGTCCAGGTGGAGGGCACAAACAAAAGAGAGCCAATAGGCTGCTTCTCAAAAGCACCTGGACCACACTTGGAAATAATGGAAATCAATAGACGTGTTTCTCAATAGACCTTTCCACCCAGCCCTCACTAATGGCAATGCATATCAATCAACATGGCACATCCCAATGGGCAGTTACGCATCCGCCATTGATGGACAGATATGCGCATGATATGCGCAGTAAAAGCTGCCGCAACAGTGGGAGGCTACCTGAAACCGTGCAGCACCATGTTCGTCTAGCGAAACTCAAGTGATGCAACATGCAACTAGAAATTGCCAAAGCTCACGCTGGTCACCGCTGGTCTTTCGCTCATGGTGTCTCTTGTGCTTCGTTGCCATGGGCTACACTTATGCAGCACCTCTGAAGGCCAGGACAGGAATTGATGAATTTGAGGGGGGCATGACGGATGGCATGAAGGATGGCATAAAGGATGGCATGATCTTGAATGATCTTGAAACATGTAAAAAAATGTAAAGATCTTGAAAGTCCGACCTGTTTGGACGAGTTCATGGGTGCTATGGCAGCTATGGGGAGGAAGGCTCCAAATCTCCAAATGATGGCACCCGTTAGCGATTGAAGAGTTTGTACCATCGGTTCCCAGGCGATCAGCAAGCTCGGCGGGTTACTTGCTGAAAAGACTAGCCAGCACAGTCAGCGTTCACTCGTCATGACCGAGAACTCGGTCGATCAAATTGGCAGATGCATTTAACTTATGTTCATTTATGAGATTGTGAAGAGCGTCGAAGAGTTTGGACATGATAAAGCATGAGAAACCTCGCAACACTGAACCAAGGTGCAAGGCCAAAGTCTTTGTCTTGCTGCCAGCTTGGAAAAGCAATGCCGTTTGGGCAAACGCTGCGTGTGTTGGACATCCGAAGAACTTGGAGGCCTTACGAGCCGCAGGTACAGATGTTGAGGCCTGGGTCCTGACGTGGCATTTGAGTTCGACAAATACGAGATTTGATCCGCTTTGAACTTTGATCCGTGTATCTGGCAGACAATGCATTGCGGAAGTTTTCCACTTCTGTGTGTTCTGAAAGGCATGGGTAATTCGATCATATGAATCATCATATAATCATAATATTCTTACACGAGCTTACACGTGTGTAGCACCGATGCCATATGACTTGTTCAGCAACTTCTGTGTCCTGTGCTCCTTCTGGTCAGGTGCTGCGTGCATCTTGCAAATGCCAAGCCAAGCGTGTGCAAGAAGGTGGTGTTCATGATCCTTGCCTGGCCAAAGCCACCAAGCCAACTCCATCGAACGTTTTCTCCAACGTTGCACTGACGTTGGGGTGTTTCAGTTGAGCGGATTGCAGTAATTTTTACTACTTGTAGCTCACTTTCCAACTGAGGAATTGACGGAAAATGGAAGGACTGGGTGTTGGCAAATGGCAGATGTCACATTTAGCAGTGTGCTTGTTCACTTCAGAAGGCACTTGCCCTGAAAACAGCTCTTCCTGAAATCTTCCTGAAATACACACGCATGGAATGTCCGCACTGGCTGTCGAAGCTGGTGATTCGCCCACAATGTGCAGAGATCTCTGTCACATTCTGTCACTGTCCAGAGAGTTGCAGAGGACACTAAAGTTCACAGGTGCCGCTAAAAGTCTCGCTGATACGAGCCTTGCCTTGTCTCATTTGCGAGCTTGGCATGAGGCGATAGAGGCACGATTTCTTTTTCCAGTGTGTGTTAAAGCCATGTCATTCATGACATGACCCTCATTGCACCCCGTATCTTTAAAGACCTTTAAAGTGTAGATGTTGACAGGTGTTGAAATCCTTTGCTTCCAACAGGATATGACCCTGTCATTCTCAACTTGGCTAATGCTAGAGCTGATTTTCAACCCTTGCAGTACTAGGTCCGCTTTTAAATACTGTATGGCAGCATACTGGAAGTAACATGATATAACATGTTACCACGTACCGGATTCATTTCTTGTCTTTCACACTCTTGGAAGCATAGATGGGAATCTGGACATGGTCAAAGGAAGTTTAGGGGGAGAAACTTCCGTGTTACGGACTTTTAGAATGTCAGGGAAAGAGTTAGTCAAAGAAAGAGTTAGTCAAAGAAACAGTTAGTCAAAGAAAGAGTTAGCAAAGAAAGAGTTAGTCAAAGAAAGAGTCAGTCAAAGAAACAGTTAGTCAGGGAAAGAGTTAGTCAAAGAAAGAGTTAGTGAGGGAAAGAGTTAGTCAAAGAAAGAGTTAGCAAAGAAACAGTTAGTCAGGGAAAGAGTTAGTCAAAGAAAGAGTTAGTCAGGGAAAGAGTTAGTCAAAGAAAGAGTTAGTGAGGGAAAGAGTTAGTCAAAGAAAGAGTTAGTCAGGATATATGAGGTAGTCAAAGAAAGAGTTAGTCAGGGAAAGAGTTAGTCAAAGAAAGAGTTAGTGAGGGAAAGAGTTAGTCAAAGAAAGAGTTAGTGAGGGAAAGAGTTAGTCAAAGAAAGAGTTAGTGAGGGAAAGAGTTAGTCAAAGAAAGAGTTAGCAAAGAAACAGTTAGTCAGGGAAAGAGTTAGTCAAAGAAAGAGTTAGTGAGGGAAAGAGTTAGAAAGAGTTAGTGAGGGAAAGAGTTAGTCACAGAAAGAGTTAGCAAAGAAAGAGTTCGTCAGGGAAAGAGTTAGTCAAAGAAAGAGTTAGTCAAAGAAACAGTTAGTCAGGGAAAGAGTTAGTCAAAGAAAGAGTTAGTGAGGGAAAGAGTTAGTCAAAGAAACAGTTAGTCAGGGAAAGAGTTAGTCAAAGAAAGAGTTAGTCAGGGAAAGAGTTAGTCAGAAAGAGTTAGCAAAGAAAGAGTTCGTCAGGGAAAGAGTTAGTCAAAGAAAGAGTTAGTCAAAGAAAGAGTTAGTGAGGGAGTTAGTCAAAGAAAGAGTTAGTGAGGGAAAGAGTTAGTCAAAGAAAGAGTTAGTGAGGGAAAGAGTTAGTCAAAGAAAGAGTTAGTCAAAGAGTTAGTCAAAGAAAGAGTTAGTCAAAGAAAGAGTTAGTCAAAGAAAAAGTTAGTCAAAGAAAGAGTTAGTGAGGGAAAGAGTTAGTCAAAGAAAGAGTTAGTGAGGGAAAGAGTTAGTCAAAGAAAGAGTTAGCAAAGAAAGAGTTCGTCAGGGAAAGAGTTAGTCAAAGAAAGAGTTAGCAAAGAAACAGTTAGTCAGGGAAAGAGTTAGTCGTGAGGGAAAGAGTTAGTCAAAGAAAGAGTTAGGCAAAGAAAGAGTTCGTCAGGGAAAGAGGTAGTCAAAGAAAGAGTTAGCAAAGAAACAGTTAGTCAGGGAAAGAGTTAGTCAGGATATATGAGGTAGTCAAAGAAAGAGTTCGCAAAGAAAGAGTTAGTCAAAGAAAGAGCAAAGAAAGAGTTAGCAAAGAAAGAGTTCGTTAGGGAACGAGTTAGTCAAAGAAATTGTTCAAGCAATGTAAATGGGATTGCAAGTGGTGCTGGTGGATGAGTTGCCGATGGAGTTTTGGAGGAAGTCTTGCACGAAATGCGTTTTTGAGAGATAGCAGATGCACGAAACCCTGTGTTTTTCCATACAAAGTCCGTCCCCGAACGTCGATGATCTACCTGTGCGGTGCGACGGGTGCGAGACGGTCTCGTGTGTGGTCGGATCATTCTCGGATCATTCTCGGATCATTCTCGGATCGGTCTCGGATCGGTTCCGCATTGTAAATGGGGTTTCAACTGTGTTTCGTCCATGTGCGGTCGACAGAATTTCATTGTGATTTGCAACTGTAGGATCGTTCCCGCAATGTAAATGAGATCGCAAATGGTGCTGGTGGATGAGTTGCCGATGGAGTTTTGAAGGAAGTCTCGCACGAAATGCGTTTTTGAGAGATAGCAGATGCACGAAACCCTATGTTTTTCCGGACAAAGTGCGTCCCCGAACCTCGATGATCTACCTCTGCGGTGCGACGGTTGCGAGACGGTCTCGTGTGTGGTCGGATCATTCTCGGATCATGCTCGGATCATGTTCGGATCGGTTCCGCATTGTAAATGGGGTTTCACCTGTGTTTCGTGCATGTGTGGTCGACAGAATTCCATTGTGATTTGCAACTGTAGGATCGTTCCCGCATTGTAAATGGGGTTTCACCTGTGTTTCGTGCATGTGTGGTCGACAGAATTCCATTGTGATTTGCAACTGTAGGATCGTTCCCGCATTGTAAATGGGGTTGCAAGTGGTGCTGGTGGATGAGTTGCCGATGGAATTCCATTGTGATTTGCAACTCTAGGATCGTTCCCTCACTGTAAATGGGATTGCAAGTGTTGCTGGTGGATGAGTTGCCGATGGAATTCCGTTGTGCTTTGCAACTGTAGGATCGTTCCCGCAGTGTAAATGGTTGCGTCAAGGTTGCTTCGTGCTGTGGCTGCATTGGTAATACTATTGTCTTTTGCAGCTGGATCTCGTAAATCCTATTGGAGTGGCTGCATGAAGGCTGCGACATGGATTTGTTAGCAGATTTTCTCCATTTTGGCGCCAGTGATTTTCCTTCTAAAAATCCTTTTAAAAAGTGCTTCAAAATCGTCTTTTTTTTCGCTACTGGCGTCGAGCATCCGGTTTTGAGCTCACTTTCCAGATGCCATTGCGCGTAGTTCTCTTGTGTTTGCACTCAGTCACCCGCAGAGGTATCGCATTGGAATGGCTGCGTCAAGGTTGCTTCTTGCTTTGGCTGCATGCGCAATGTCTTTTGCAGCTGGATCTCGTAAATCGTCTTGGACTGGCTGCATGAAGGCTGCGAAATGGATTTGTTAGCAGATTTTCTCCATTTTGGCGCTAGTGTTTTTTTTGTTCCCGAGAGCGTCTGAGCGCAGGGTTCTTCCAATAGTGGGGGTCTGTATCTTATCTTCTCATCTTCACATCTTCTCATCTTCACATCTGTATCTCATCTTCTCATCTTCACATCTTCTCATCTTCACATCTGTATCTCATCTTCTCATCTTCACATCTTCTCATCTTCACATCTGTTCATCTTCACATCTGCTCATCTTCACATCTGCTCATCTTCACATCTGCTCATCTTCACATCTTCTCTCACATCTGCTCATCTTCCACATCTTCTCTCACATCTTCTCTCACATCTGCTCATCTTCACATCTTCTCTCACATCTTCTCTCACATCTGCTCATCTTCACATCATCTTCACATCTTCTCTCACATCTTCTCTCACATCTGCTCATCTTCACATCTTCTCTCACATCTTCTCTCACATCTGCTCATCTTCACATCTTCTCTCACATCTTCTCTCACATCTCCTCTCACATCTTCTCTCACATCTGCGCATCTTCACATCTGCTCATCTTCACATCTCCTCTCACATCTTCTCTCACATCTGCTCATCTTCACATCTGCTCATCTT